GATGACTGTAACTGGCATGTGATGTCAGAAATGCATAAAGAAATTAGTGCTAAAATTTGAAAACAATATCAGGTGTCTTTGAAAAAAACCATGAAATAGATGTTATAAAAGCTAAGTGCTATTTAATTCAATTTTTAATTGAACACAGTCTTCCAATTTTGGTTTGGGATCATTTGAAGCATCTTTTATTCAAATGCAGCCTGTGAAAGAATTTTTTCCAGACGCAAACAAGGCACACAGGAAGGATCATTTGAAAAAATTCTAATAGTTAATTTTTTTTAAATATTTGTATATGTAATGTCTTCTGTAGCTAACTTAATTGATGCACATATAGGCATGTTGAAAGGTGCACATGTATGATCATAGATCCTATCGACTATTTTTTTTAGCTGTAATATAAATTCTGTTAGATATCTTAACGTTAGAAAACAGCTGTGCAGACAAGATGACTTAATGGAAGAGAAAACTGCAAGTGTGATGTAGATTCAACTCACAATTTTATTTCTTTATAATTATTTTCTAGAACATATTCTTTTTTACACAGCATCATTATAGATGTGATGAGCAAATACCCCACAATTTTATATAACTAATCATACCTTGAGACAATGGATGACATAGGTTATTAACATAACGACATACATTATGAAGATTTGGAGTTCATTCTAGATGAAATTAAATATGACGATCCTAACTGGTTTACATGCTGCGATCTCAATATAGATGCACCAAGAATAGTAAGGAGGGTACAGAAAAGTTTTTTTGTATTTTGTGTGAATGAAATAGCAAAGATAAAAAATCAACTAAAGAAAGATTGGTCTTTAAAGGGTTTTACTAGAACCTGAAGCCAAAAAGATGCTTCGAAAAGCTCTGTTAGATCTGAATAAAATTTCCCTTTTTACCCCTGCATATCAAGTTAGTCTTGATGAAGCAATTTATCAAAGCCTTAGCAAAAAAGGGTCAATGTTTTAAATACATCTGTGACAAATTTTTGGCCTTATCAATTACGAGATTAAAAGAGTGTCTTTAAACTTTTCTAAGATGGTAGTTTTGAGAAACAAATGGAAGTTGTAGAAAAAGAAGCCTAGGGCCTTTAAAGACATAGTGACCAAGTTTTGGGGCATTAAGAAAAATCCAAACTTTAAATCAATTATTGAAAACAGGCTACAAAAATACAAAAAGTTATGCTGTTCCATGAGCTCAAAGGATCACTTCACATTCAGTCTAATTTCCCGAAAAGTGGTGCTATTAGCGAAGAAGAGATAGGGGAGAGATTTGGAAAGGAGTTATCAAGGAAAATGAACTATTTTTAATGATGGCTGACTATTACACTGAGATAAACCTCATCAAGAGCAAAAAAAGAAAGAGTGCAAAGCAGAGCATTGATGATCCTTAGAAACTTCCCATAAAATAAAATTGTGTATTTTACATACATTGTCTAAGTATGGCAATATATTAAACTACACAATCTAATACACAATAAGCCTAAAGAAGAGTAAATTCTGAAGGGAAAATTTAAGCTCAAAGTCTCATATTTTCGCAGTTTTTCTATTTATTTACAAATTTTGAAAGTTGTGATTTCCAAAATAACCCTGATGTGATGAAGGAAAATAAATGTCATTTCTGAATTCAGTGCTAAAAAATAAGAATAAATTAGCAAATGCTAAAAAAATGATACAGTCCAAATTCTGCAGACTTTTGTCATTTAATGTCTTGCTTAAACTCTGCCCAATGTGCATTCTGGTACATTGTAAAATTTTGGATTTTTATCTGTTTGAGCAAGTAAAATTTTTCTAATTTGAAATCTGTCTGTGCCTTTTCCAAAAACTAAAAATTTTTAAAACTAGATTTGAGAGAAAAGATGTGAGTGATATATACAAGTTCAAACTATTTATTCGTAAGTATAATTTAAGATTGATTTATTTGTATAGAGCTATATCTTAAGAGATTTTATTTCACTAACATTTCACACTATCATTTCACTGACATATTTAGATTTTACATATACAAAATAGAAATCATCGTGGACAAAAATTTAATATTAGATGCATGTCTTTTGAAGAATTCTTTGCAGGTTTAGTAACCATTGTCAGATTTGTATTTATTTGAGAATGATATATCTTAAACTAAATTTTGCTTTGTAGTGTTAATTTAATTAGCAAAGTAAAATTCAGAGAGGTGTTTAAAACAAGAAAGGATTTATAAGTTGTTCTGAACTAAATGTATTTTTGAACCTGGCAAAGAAAGTCTCTAACTAAACTATAAATTATTAACTAGTAAAATTTTATGTACTTAAATTAGCAAAACCTTTTTGAGATAGAGCATCTAAAATATATTTAACAGATTACTTCAAATACTTAATAATTAAGACATCAAAAAACAAAATACATTTTAGAACATAAAATCTAACACTAAATCAGGTATGATGCAGAATATAGCATCACATCAATCAGCCATCTGATTTTAAAATTTATCCTTAAAATACTGGAAAATAAGACATGCACTTAGAATATACTGGAAAATAAGCTATGCATTTGGAATGTTGGATACATATGCATGCAGTATTCTGTCCATATAAATACTTATTCCCTTTTATCTGTATGTAAAAAGGAAATGGTGTTTGTTATGAAAGCATTTTGTCATTCAGGTTTTTACTCATTCTGATTTCTGGATTAGCCACACAGTCATATGTTATGTTATCTCAGCTCGTCATAAATATTGAACACTACTTTCAATTGAAAACAAAGACAGGACTGCCAGAGATGGGCTACCACTAAATCGCAATGGCAGATCTGTAAGTGAGATAAATAAAACTGGATCTGTAGAATTTTTTAATGAAAAAAGTGTCAGGTTGTTTAAAGGAAGTCTTGATTGTGAGCCAGAGATTAAACTTGGGTTTACCCTACTCAGAATAATTTTTACATCAGCCGCATTGTTCTGTTTTTGAAAATGAAGAATGCTTTGCACAATGTTCATCCTCAGTGATTTTCTTTCCATTCTTAGAACAATTTATGCCACCTAAACTTGAGAAGAAAACAGCTGCTTTCAACAACTTCATTTCAAAACCAGATTTTTTTTGTTTCAAACAAAGCTTTTTGCAATACTGTTCAAGACTCCTCTGCATTTACTTTTACTCTTTTCACTAGCTTACAGATTGCTAAGATGCAAATTCTACTGAGGAAAGTCTAACTGTATACCTGTGTTCCCCTTTCACTTGCCTCAAAGCCCTATTCTCGTTTGCACTACATTAAAAAATCATTCTCATTAATTCTGGTCTAGTCCTTGTACATCTACTGCTGAACAAAAAACGTGAAACAGCATAAAACTTTCGTCACAGCACTATATAAACTTTGGTCAATTTAGGCCAACAAGATACCCAACTTCATTGCAATTTCTAGTCAGTCTAAAAGGATTATAAAAAGGGGAAAAAATTATCAATGAACATGAAAAAGGGGGAAAACTTTAACAAGGGTATTTATTTTCTTTGTTGTTTCCTCATCAGGATAAAGATTACAGGATTAAAATGCTTTTGAAATACTGTCTACATCTTTTAAAACTTATGAACATTCAAGAGGTCTAATCACAGGTCTATGTAAAAGCTAGTTACTCTTTGTGGTACATTGCAGCAAGAACCAAACATGATGCAACAATCAAGAGTTGAAATGAGAAGCACTAGAAACAAAATTGATAGCTGGATTCAGACTGGAGTGTCAAAATAAATGCTTGAATCCAGAATCCTGCTATAAAGGCTCCCTTACCCCCCTTTCACAGCAGGCAATAACTAATGCCTATAGTAAGAGATTTTCATGTTTAAAAATCAATGCAAATTTTCATTAACTGTCAAAGCATATTTTAAATTATCCTTTGAAGGTACTCAATCATGAATGCTTGCAGAATTATCAGAAAAAATTTACTTCAGGTGAAGAAAGGCAAATTGTGGTATTTTGGGTTCATGTCAGTTCTGACTCAGCAAGGATGAAAACTGAGTTAAGAGGCTGAAGAAGATATGGTTATCAGGCTACTATATCAGGCCTATCAGTCCTAACACAATCTGTCACTTTGCATTAGTATATCTTCCAAACTTACCAAGTAAAACTGTCTGGTAGAATAGCATATGGCCACATAAAGCTAACATTAGTATCCAGTTAATTTCTGGGCTAACATAATTCCCAGACCTCTCGTCAATTCAAAATATAGGGAACATGATTATTCATTCAGTAAATACTGTCTAAAACCTTTGCAAATGGGAAGAATTCAGAACTTCAGTAAATACTGCTCAGTACAGAGTAGCCTACGACAAAATTCAAGTCCTCATTGAATCAAAGAAACAATGAGTTAATAAATGTAGCATCTAAAAGGCTGGGTATATAATTTACTCTCTGTATAATCTCTGTGTAGTGACTAGGCATATACAAGTTTTCAAATTAAAATCATTTTTAAGAATGTATGTCTCTGTACATGTATTTTTCCTCATCTGAAGCATATTTTCATGGTGCTATATTTTAAAGTAGAAATAGAATATTATTGAGAAAGGAGAGAAACAGAATAGAAATACAATATTGAGAAATAAACTTTAATAACACAGTAATTAAGACTATACAAAACATGATTATTCATTCAGTAAATACTCTCTAAAACATTTGCAAATGGGAAGAATACAGAGCTTCAGTAAATACTGCTCAGTACAGAGTAGCTTAAGACAAAATTCAAGTCCTCATTGAATCAAAGAAACAATGAGTTAACAAATGTAGCATCTAAAAGGCTGGGTATATAATTTACTCTCTGTATAATCTCTGTGTAGTGATTGGGCATGCATAAGTTTTCAAAATAAAATCATTTTTAAGAATGTATTTCTCTGTACACGTATTTTTTCTGATCTGAAGCATATTTTCATGGTGCTATATTTTGGAGCAGAAATAGAATATTATTGGGAAAGGAGAGAAACAGAATAGAAATACAATATTGAGAAATAAACTTTAATAACACAGTAATTTACCAACTTTGTAATTCTCCTTTATCTGCTTCCCTTCAGTTGCATATTGTTGCCATAAAGCAAAACCTTTTTCATAAAGTTCTTGCTGCTTCTCTTCTTCTTCTCTAGCTTGTTTTCCAAGTTCTCTAACAGCAAAAATCAAATTAAAAAGAATGAGAAAATAAAAAGGAACTCAGAGCTTTTACAAATTTATGTTCTATTTTAAGAGTTACTGAAATGTATAACAGCAATAAAGGAACAAGAGTATGACTTTTAGAGCTTTAAATTAATCTACAGTGTAGATCAGCATTTGATCTTCTCAAGGTACCAGTATCATTACCAACATTTTATTCCATCCAGATGGGAGGGGAGTTAGTGACACAGAATATACTGCTATACTGAAAGACCTAAGTTTAAATTCCCCAGAAGGATATGTTCTTAAATGTGTCAAGGGGATACTCAAAATATGCGGTACTCCGAAATCCTTTAGAGAGGCTGGCAGTAGGGACAGATCCTTGGACTACCCCTCTCCACAGGAATTCCATCTGCAGAAGAAGCTTAGCAGCTTACAAGGCTATGTGATACCTAACAAGCCGAGATGGATGCACAGGTGCCGATCTTTCTTCAACCTATACCTGCAAAAACATTTTATACCCTCTTCTTTTTCTCCTCCTTTTCAATGTCAGAAAACTTTATAGCTCAGTTTCTATTTTTTGTTTATCACTATTACATTAACAAGGCACTTATCACCCACATATCTTTAGAATTATTGCTATTCTACAAGGTGTAAAAGGTACATTCTACAAGGTGTAAAAAATAAAATAACGTTTGCAAACTATGAGTTTTCAGAGTTTGAAGTAGCTTTGTTTTTTAAATTAAAGCATAACTTAGTTGACTGATTGTAAGAAGCAAAATAAAGTAGATCTTTTGAAATAATATTTTTAATTAAGGTAATTTAGAACACACAATTTATGATGCATATTTTAACACATATATGATGCACATTAATAATTTTTATAACATTTTCATAATTATTTTAATTAATAAAAGATGGCGCTAATGATGTATCCAGTCAAACTTTGGTAAACTAAAACTGAAGAGAGACGGGAAAATTTTGAGTACTTAACATGATTTACGAACAATTAATGCTGATTTTAAATTCTAACTCTAAACCTTCAGTCAGACTTATCTGTGACTATGCCCATCCATTCTATACAAAGATGAAGACACATAACAGAATTAACTCAAAAATTCTTATATATGGCTTCACTTGGTACAGAATAGTAATTGTTTATATGCCACTTAACACCCTTTTTACATATTATTTATGGCATTGTTATATTACACAATTTAATAAAATAATTATGCATCAAATACTTACAAGCATGTGTTCACACAGTCAGCTGTACTATTGTATTCGTCACTGCCGTCACAACAATCTGAAAAATAAGCATTCAGTTATACTCAAAATGCAAAAGACAAAACAGATAACAAGTAATACATAATTTAAAAATTATACAACAAATTGGATACTTCTTTCATACCTTAAAACTCTGACAATTAAAAATACTCTATAATGGAGCAACAGAGTAAATAATGTTAAAAATTACAGATAACACTAAAAAAGGCAATATATAAAAAGATAAACAAATTAAAAACACTGCAATCTGTAACATACATTATAGATATCTCTAACACATCTCTATAAACATATCAGCATAGAGCAGTTTTGTAAAAATTAAGACATTTAGAATATGGGCATATAGGAAGCTTTACTTGATATTAAGCAAACATACGAGGGTAAGGAATGTATGCACTCTAAGAAATGAAATATACTTTAAAATGAAAATTAAAAAAGAAAAAAGATTAAGAAATGAAATGCTCGTGAAATGTGCAATATTATAAAAGACTCAAAGAAATTTATGTCTCAAATAACTAATGACAATGCAATTAATTGATTAGACTTCAGACCAGTAAAACTACACTGCCGGCTATTAAAACTGCTACACCATGAAAACAGTGTGAAATAAACATCAAATTTGCATGAAAGGTCCTACACACTGGGATATGCAAATGATTAACATTCCAGCATACACACTCAAAATAGGTATGAATAATGTTATCTACATTGTGTATAATAGGAAGATTCTGCAGTGGGATTTGGAAACCATATTGGAAATTAGTTGTGTGAAGACTGTGATATGCCTCATAAGAAGAAAAAATTCCTACCAGTCCTATTCGACTGCTGCAAGGGCCTATTGCAAATATGGAATCAATGGGTCCAAAAAGGACATACTAAATGCCATATAGGATCTCAGTGCCCTCGGTCACTAATGTCTGGGAGGAAATACATGCTATCCTCTCGTCCTTGTGGGATCATACAGCCATGTAAGGTCCCAATCACATTATGTTTTGGCTATGGGGGACTGGACGTCAAAAGGGACAATTCTCAGAACCCGCACATTTCCAGGAAACCCACATAGCTAGGTTACCATTTTTACTTACTACAAAGACTTGAACAGCAAGCAGTAATCGATTATCACTCAGATTGGGATCACATGATCCTTCAGAAGCACAACTTTCGTCCAATTGGTTGAGTCTATCCGGGACAGAGCTCCAGCTGAGACAATTTTTGGTGAGGTTTGAAAAAATCCCACGTAGCCGCAACATCATTTCCATAGCTAGGTGGGACTTCGCTTCCAGTGGCAGTCTTTTTACTAGAATTCCTCCCATTTAAACCAATGATACTATCATAATCTCGTTTCTCAGAAAAGTTCCATCTAGCAGGGACTGTCGCCACATGTGATAACAATTTAACGCAGCTCGAGTCATGAATTTAGCTCTTAGGCAAGACAAGTGTTTGCACAGACAGTGCAATGATGTCCACAGCACCACAGCTTTTCAGCCCATGGGAACCATTGTTGCTGCTTCCATTGATACTGCAGCAGAGACCAATGTGCCTAAAGTGGTATGACAAAAGATGATGTATGGTGATGTAATTAAACAAGGAGAGCAAATTCAAACTAGAAATACAGACTAGCGGTCAAAGACTATACAATTTCATTTCAATTTAATGTGGTTCAGTAACTCTGTCGTCATAATAAACTCAACTTAGACAGTGGGTAATGGAAAGACTAATAATTACAAATTATCAGAGCTGGCAGGAACTAAAGCAGGGAGCAAGTGGAGGTCAGAAACACACTCTTGTCTTACACTCCAAAAACCTAAGTTTAAAAACTGCCTAAGTGATTTGCATTCTGGTGAGGAAATAGAAGTGGGAAATTATAGTAAAAGCTGAAATTGTAAACAACTGAGTAATTTACATAATAATAACTGCACATATCTTTGAAGAATAATTTTCTTTCTCTTTACATATTTAGTTCTTTTCTTCAACACGTTTCCCTTCACTTTAAAATTTTTAGATTTAATTAGATTTCTGTTATTCTAAAAGACTAAATGCATTTAGAATGTATGGAAAAAGCTGCTAATTTTATTTATTTAGTAATACAAACATTCAGAAGAAATATGAAATACATATGGTAAGGTCTGGTCACAGAGCTGGTGTGGTATAATTTTTAGAATTTAGTGACACACCGAGCAACAAAATCTAGAAATGGCAAAACTTTAAGAATTTAGAGCATGCATTGGAAGCAGAATTTAGAAAGGCAGCAGAGTTTAGGATCCACAGAGAGTGCGTCAAGTGGCAAAATGCGTAGCGCCAGCCCTGTGCACAATGCATTAAGACATATTAGACGAATCGTTTGAATTGTCAGTTTTCAGTTTCTTTATTAATAAAACAAATTCCTTTCTATAATTGCCTGCCCATATGATAAGATTAGAAGCATTTTTGATAATTTCTATGCTTGTGTCTAGTGAAAAGTAGAGAAAATAAAGGGAAGATAAAAATGTTACCAAAGCGATTCTAGTATCAGAAGTAAAATATTCAACTATTATGTTTTCATTATTCTTCCAGATGTTCTCCAAAAAGGAAGAAATTGTGTGTTACTACCATGGAGACATTTTTCATTTTGTCACATTTTTCTGGAATCTTTTAGAATCGTGGCTTCAAATCTTTCTAAACAGTCCAAGCTGCAATGTCTAAAATCCTAAAGAAAAATTACCCCTACCAATCACATAACAGCAAAAAGCCAGAAAGGTTTTGAAAAAAATTGAAGGAAAAAAGTGCAAAATTATTTTATAGAGAAAACTGATGCATATTCTGAGAATTCTGAACATTCTGAGAAATGGAAAAATCTCTTACCATAAAAAATTAAAAAAGCATTTTTAATTAATTACATAGATATTTCGCTTTTGCTAAAAACTGTTTCGTAAATGTGCTTTATATCATTATACTTTGCATATTTTTCAGATTTAAAACATTGTATAATATGTGGTGAAAATGGAACTTTATATTATGACAATGAAAAATAAAAATGCTTTATTTGAATGTTATTTTTAAATATAATTCCAATATATGACCATTATTTTAGTGAAATTTATCAATGTTAGAATGTTCTAAAAAAATCGTCAAAAAATTCCCAGATTTCAGAATTAAAAATTTCCTATAGAAACCGATCTTAAAATCGTCAAATTTAGTATTGTTTAATTCTTTTGAATTCACATCCCCAAAAGCGGAAAGTTGCTTGAGAGCTCTTCATTACAAAAAATGAAATAATTTCGAAAAGCTTATGTTTCACTTCTTGCTCAGAAACTCAAGTATTCTATCATTTTGTATTACAAATAGGAACAAATTATAACCCATGAACCCATTAAAAAAATAACCACTTTCATTTGTCAGTGAATCGTCAAAAATATTCTTGCAAAATGCTAATTCACTCAAAATGGCTGTCATAAAAACAGACAGAAATTTCAGATGATTAAAATTAAGGACCTTCTGCCAATTTTGGCCAAAATTAAGGAATTTTAAGGACCAAAAATCGATTCCAAAAAACTTAAGGACTTTTAAGAACTCTTAAGGACCATACGAACCCTGCTCTACACTCTTCCTAATATATTAGCTGCTGTTGAGAGCACTTCTGGTTCACAGCAGCTAGAATCATCTATAACAATAACCAATGGCACTACACATTATCATGTCTAAGTCCAGTAATGAGCTCTCACCATAGTACTGTCTAAAATTTGACACCACAAAATGTAATTTGTTGCCAAGTTTTATGCCTCTGCATTAGTCTACACTGTCAAGTCAGCCTACAGTAACTGTGGCTCAAGGTCCCGAGACATTGAATCTAGGAAGCAACCAGTGCCACACACATGGCAGTGTTTCAGTGTTATGTTAACATTCAAGAAGTTCCACTGTTCATGCAGCCATGCATATACGATATTTGTTATCACTAAATTATATTACTTTATTTCTTGGTCTACCGACAGATTTTAGACTTGTGTGGTTTATACAGTCCATTATTTCTATACCCAGACTACTATCATGCAAATCCTATATGAGCAATGGTGCCACGATAAAAACTTTACAAAAAAACTATAATCAGTCATATTGAGAACTTTATAATTTGCCTATACTGTGCCTTTTGATGTTGGTGAGGTACTGTGTCTCCTATGAGACAGTTTCCAATGCATTTAGGATGACAAACTACTTGTCTAGCTCCTGATTAGCCCTGTATTTACAAATAAACATCACATAAGAGTTAGTGGACACTGTTGGGCTTTGGAATATGTATGCATTCTGCATTTCTAATCATTTTCATGTCTGAGTTTGCTTTATATTTCCTATTAAATTCCATTCTATTCTGCTGATCCTTTATGGTGTTGCAATTTTTATAAAAATGAATGTGTATGAGAAGATGCAATAAAAATGACTGGAAAGTAATAGCAATATAGGTGTTTGTAGCATGGGATTGAAGACACAGCTAACCTGAATTAAAAAAAATAATAAAACTTTTCTAAACCCAAACACATATTTGACACAATTTACAAATGATGCAGGAAGTGTGGTCCACCATGTTTCATATTCAAATGAGCTTGCACATACTAGATTTGCGGGGGTAGGGGGGGTGAGTGTCACAAAAAGTGTAATTTATTAGTGTAACTAATGATATTTATTCTAAAACCTTCCAGAGCTTAGACATTATTGTGGTATGTTTGTTTTTCTGTAATCCCACAAGGAAAGTATCTGCTGGTGACAGATTCAATAATCTTGGTAGACTAAATCTGCCAAAGTCCTTTAGAGATAATCCAGTTACCAAAGAAAGAAGACAAGAATTCTATTACTGAATTGGCCATATAGCTTGGTGCATCATTTCCAGAAACCATGACATTTAGCTTTTTCCAGTAGTGTGAACAGTTGGATTACTTTCGGATGTACTTCCACTATTATCATGCAACCAATAGAAATGCATCCCATCAATTCCTCACTTGACAATGCGGCCAAACTTTTATGGGACTGATACGATACAATACGATGGTAACTTCTCATTCATTAGAATGCCTGATCATAAAACCTCACCACATTTTAGGACAAAGAAGGGGGCCTTACATTCGAGTAATAATATTATCAGCTGAATAAAAATATAAATAAATAAAAGGAATATTCTAAAAATGCATGTAATCGCATCTAAATATCCAAAAATAAAAACAGAAGCAAAGCAAAATGGCATGCTGGATCCTTAAACTGCATTTTTAATTTGGATGATCAGCTACTAAAAGCACAAGGTACTGATTTTTCTATAACATGTATACTGAAAATGAGTCTTATAATACCAAATAAATATTATGACTGGTACTTCTAAAACAAAGATAATACTTTATACTTACCACAAATATTATCATTAACTCTTGAAGAAGGAATGTTTAAAGACACATGACCAGCATTAATACAGTGGAATACAGCATTGTCACATGCAGAAGTTCCTAGAATTAATTAAAATTATTAAAAGAATAGCAAAACAGTTTGTAATAGTCACTTTCTGGAAATTTAACACTTAATTAGATATTTAAAATAAAAGATATTGGGAAAACATTAATGTTTAAATAAGCAGTTCTGTAAAATAACAAATTTAGGTAACTATGTTCATTCTTTAAGCATTTTAATAGTTATGTAAATTATATCTGCAGTAAACAGACATGATGAAAATGCTTTTTCTAAGGCTTACTTGTAAGAAAAAAAAATATTCAACATATTAAAATAATTATATACAGAATTTTATTATCAAATAATGTTATTTCTATATAAAAAGAAATGATTACAATTCTTTAATTAACCTCTCACTGTTCACTGCAAATAGTATGACAGGCTAAAGTATCAATTTCTTTTTCAAATGCCTGTGATAACTGCTAGACAGAAAAAGGTCATAGCACATCCAGGCAGCTTTTCTTAGAAATATGCTTGCTGAAGACCACTCTGAATAGCAAGTTTCTACCCACAGTCAGGAGGGGAAAAGAAGAGAAAAAACACAGAAAAAATGGAAAGGGAAAAATTTCCATTTACTACTGTACTTCATATCAGTCAAAAAATAATTGCATTTACTCCAACATTGCAAGAAAATCTGACAACAATACACTGAACAGAGCAAAATTCCATTTGCTCATAGATGGAAAAAATCAGTTTTTACATCTTATTAGGAAAACTAGCCTGTATGTGATTTGAATTACATATATCAGTTCAAAAACACACTACTTTCCAAACATTATGCAAAAATAAATTCAACATAATTAGGAAATTTATGCTAAGACTCAAAATTTCAGGAACTAAATAGAAAACTTAGTCTTAAAATCAGGGTTTAAATTCAGCTGAAGCCCACCAGAAGCTCTTCTCAGTTTATGAATAAAAGAATAATTCGAGTCAGAGCCCCAAACAAGTTCAGCTGTTGTGCTTTAATTTAACATTTAATTATTTGCCATTAATTGGACATATCTTTTTTCATCAATTTACTTTTTATTTAATTTTAATTATTCATTTTTATTACTTTATTCACTTATTTTTATTTAGCTGTTGTGATGACCTTCTATAGGACTCCAGTGCTTCTAATTTCAGAAGTAAGCCCTGCTTATAATGATACATAAAATACGTTTTTTGGTGTTATATATGCTTAGCTACTTAAAAATACACTGATAGTGGAAGTTTTCACAGATAACTGCTCAGCCACCAAAGCCTTGACTAAATGGTGATCTCATGTTCCTCTTTTTTTAGGTTTATTGCAGATTTTTTTTTTTTAGTTTCATGTAGTGTTGCAAATTTTTTTTTTAATGGACATCCAGATATATGGGAAACTGAAAGATAATTGAAGGTATCATAAGAACTGAAAATGAACTTCACTCTACAATATAACAAACCAACAGGTAACTCTGTGATTACCCTTTAACTCCTTTTAATTTTATACTCATAAAGAGCTACTTTCAACTTTTACCTAAAACAAGGATGGCAAACCTGTGGCACGCGACATGTACATATTAAATTGACTATTTATATTACTAAAATATTCTATGTGGGAGAACAAATCTGTCAAATTTGATGAAACATTAGAAAAAGGGGAGTGCACAATTCCAATTATTGCATCCAAAAGAGTGAAAACTTAAATCCTTGAAAGATAGAATGATCTCCCACAAAAACTTTTGGCCATGAAAAAATTTACCACAGCACTAATGTTTGGGTCCTCATATGCTTGTGAGCAAGTGTTTTCATAATTATAACATTCCTCGATACTTTGTCTAGATATTACGTCAAGGAACCTAGTGAACTAAGTAGCAAATTATTGTTGAATTCCAATAGTTACTACAACAGTTACGTAAGAAGGGTTAAAATACCCTTTTATTCACTCAAAGACATAATAACAGATGGCCCCTTCTCGGGCTTACAGGAAAGACTCCACTTGGGCTTTTAAATCAGAATAAGAAAATAAGAAACTAATCTAATACTAAACTAAACAGAGCTGAAGATAGACACAAATACCTAATGTAGTGGGCCCTTAAATTAAACCAGCCAGTGATTACAACAGGCACGTACAATATGGACGAGCATAACAGATTCAAGAACAAAGTAACAAGGCAAACAAATGCCACTATGGACTTCTAAGCACTCTCTTTTGAAGTAAGTTGAACTTCCTTTAAATACTTCTAACTCATTTGCATTCAATATGATTCTAAAAACTCATTCTGGCAGGGAGTTGAAAGGAAACGAGAATTGACAGGAAAAAGTTTCAAAATTAAAAATAATTCTTATAAAATTTAAAACACCTTACAAACTCTATAAAATTTACTGTAAGAATTTACCTTAGTTCAGATTTAAGAGAATCTTGTGTGCTGTTCAAGACAATAAGTTATGGCCCAAATATAAACGACACACCTAATAAGGTTCAGCAACAGATGTCAAACTAAATGGGATTAAATGCATGTAATAGTGTAACATTAGATGACTCTATTTTGAAAAGTAAAAAGTGTATATTGAGTGAAGCATCTTAAAGACACCGTCAAGTGAAAATATAAAGGTAATTAGTAATATATTTTGAATTGTATTGATAAATCTAATTTTTCATACTAAAACAATTAAAATCATCTAACACTGATTAGGTTTATTTTATTTTTTTCACTAAAAATAAAGGGTCTCTGCTTTACAACACTTTACATTAGCCTAATATTAAACTGAAATATTTTTAAATTAGAGGGTAAGTCAAAATGAATGCCCCAATTTCATAGGTCTACTAGGCAAAATGTAATTGCCTTCATTAAAAATGTACATACAGGCAGAGGTAATATAAGCAAGTATTGAACAGTTGCCAACAGATGGCTATGGAAGTCCAAATGTCATCATCGTTTCTGCGAAAACAGGCAGAAGAATAACACTTTTCTAAAATGGCAATGCAATAGCAAAAAGCATTTTGTGTGCTTGGGTTTCATATTAAAAAGGCTATTTTCAGTGTTCAGTACCAGTTCTGAACTAAAATACAGATAGACAGCACAGGTTCATAAGGCAATCAGTCGTTGGCATGCAAAATTTCAAGAGACAGGCTGCATTTGTAAAGGAAAATCAACAGGTCATCCTTCAGTAGAAGACATAGTTCAGGAAATTGTAGCCAACTATGTGAGAAGCCCTCAAAAATCGACATATCAAGCTAGCTGAGAACTGAACGTAACCCAGAAAACAGAGTGGAGAATTCTTGGAAGGTTTTCAAATGAAACTGTATCATTTGCAGTTGACACAACATCTGAAATGCCACCTCGATTATATTTCTGTGAGACACTTCTGACATGCATGAAGGATGACGAATTTTCGAAAAAGTTAGTATTCTGTGATGAATCAACTTTTCACATTTCTGGATTAGTAAATATGCATAATATGAGATTTTGGGGTACAGAAAATCTACATGCGCCAGTGCAATAGCAACGCGATTCCCCTAAGGTTAATGTGTCTTGTGCAATATCCTATGAAGCTATCTATGGTCTATTCTTTTTCTAAGAAACTACTGTGATAGGAGTAGTGTACCTCAATATGCTCAAATTATGGCATCTGCCTAGTTTCATTCTGCAGCAGGATGGTGCACCACCACATTTTATGACTAAAGTGCAGAGCCACCTCAATGACATGTTACCACAACTGTGGATTGGTCACGTAGCTACTGCAGACAATGCACCACCATGATCTCCAGATCTCACCCCATGTAATTTTCTCCAGTGGGTATTTGTAAAAGATCGTGTGTATGTGCTTCCAGGTCCAACGACCAGGACTGATTTGAAAGCCTGTATCTTAGCTGCCATCGCCAGCATCGATACAGACATGCTGCACAATGTTTGGCAAGAATTACATTTCAGACTTGATGTATGTCATATAACAAAGGGATGGCATATGAAACATTTGTGAGGAGTACATTCAAAACTTTCTTATATTACATCTGCATGAATGTACATCTTTAATGAATACACTTATTATATTTTGCGTAGTGTATCTACGAAATTGAGGCATTCATTTTGACGTACCTGTATTATTTATTCAATTTGCATTTGATGCAAGTTAATAACTATTCAGCAAATAAAGTTAAAGAATATAATTCAATAGTTTGAAATCAAAGCAAGGGTTTAAAGACGAATTTTAAAAAGAAATATAAAAACTGGCACACTGGACATGAGAAAATAAACCATTTAACTGGCATACTAAACGAAAAAGATTAGCCATCCTTGATCTAAAATATGCTCAGAAATTCTGTTCTACATTAACACCACACAAAAATTAATACAAATACATCCTACAAATTGCAAGAAATAATAGATACCTGCTGATTTGGGGGATGGACAAACTCAGCAACAAGATAGATCAATAGAAGTAATTCAATGAAAGTAAAGCTGCTACCAATCCACTAACAAAACAGATGTGCTGGAATTATATTACCTCTCCATACGACTTCCATATTAAGAAAATTATATAAGCAGACAAAAATCACATTTCCATTAATTTGGAAGTTAATTAAAAAAGAAAGAGCTAAAACAGATCCATCAAGCATATATACCACCTCCATCCATCACGAAGCAGTAGATGATGTTACACAGTATGTTGGTTCTACATCCTGGAAGTTAAAAACAAGAACTGCGAAACAAAGATTTCGGCATTCATACACAGTACATGGAAATTAAGGAATTTTTAAGGTCAATCAATGAAAATTATGAACCTTTCAGCAAATGGGAATTAAATAATTATCTATGTGATCAATTTATCCAGCTTCAGAAGAAAAGAGAAATATATAGAATGCATTATTATTAAGAATAATTTAATACTTAACTGTAAAAGAAAATAAAACTACCTAAAAGTTACCACATAATTTACATTAAATTAGGAACACAATTTATTGATAAATTAATATTTTATACTCACACATACTTTAAAAATTTAGAATCAAAAGACTATATTTTAATTTTTTTTAATT